CAAGGAGGGAAAAGATCCGTCTCAATGCTCCAGCTATAGACCTATCTCATTATTGAACACAGACACTAAACTGTATGCAAAGGTGTTAGCAAACAGGTTGAGAGATCTTATGCCTGAATGGATCCATGGAGATCAGGTGGGCTTTGTACCGGGGAGAGAAGGTAGAGATAACGGCCTGAGAACCCTGATGCTTATTCAGAAAAGTAGAAAAGGGAAAGCCCCGGTGGTGCTCTTGTCAATTGATGCAGAGAAGGCATTTGATAGAGTGGACTGGGGTTTTATGATGGACAACTTAAAAGTGCTGGGAATAGGAGATAGAATGCGAGAGTGGATAAGTAAATTATATAGGGAGCCCACTGCAATCATCACGGTAAATGGGGAGAGATCAGAACCCATTGGAATGTCTAATGGTACAAGACAGGGCTGTCCACTGTCCCCTCTGCTATATGTATTGTCACTCGAACCTCTGCTGTCAATAATAAGAAATAGTGGATCGGTAAAGGGAATTCAGATAGAATCCATAGAACATAGAGTTGCGGCCTTTGCGGATGACTTATTGTTCTATGTGGGAATCCCCGAATAACTCTCCCAAATATAATGAAGATTCTGAAGGAGTACGGTGAACTATCAAATTTAAAAATTAATCCAACGAAAACAGAGATCTTGAATATTAATATATCGAAGAATGAAAAAGAAAAACTACAAAAAGAATTCCCCTTTATATGTAGAGAGAAAAAGAGATAAAATACCTAGGAATAAAACTCACTGCCTCATCTAAGCATTTGTATAGATTAAACTATATCTCTTTGATAAATGAGATTAGAGAAGATTTAAAAAGATTAGAAGGAGGAAACCCATCCTGGATAGGACGTATAAACCTAGTTAAAATGGTAATCCTGCCTAAAATACTGTATAGATTTCAAATGGTACCAATTAAAATTCCAGAAGCCTTCTTCAAGATAATGAAAAAAATACTAACAAGATACATATGGAAGAATAAAAAACCTAGAATAGCATATGAAACATTGAGTAGGACTAAAGAGAAAGGGGGATTGGGGGCTACCAGATGTCAAGAGATATTATAAAGCAGTGGTTTTAGCAAGAATAATATGACTGGACATTTAACCATAAGGGGAAAAGCTGGGTAACAATTGAAAATGATCTTAGTGGCATTAGATTGAGTCAGATGATATGGGTTCCACCACAGTTCAGGGGAATTAAAGAAAGCACAAGTATCTACACTTTAAATGTCTTTAGGGTATGGGATAATTTACACAAAAGCATGAAATGGGATTTTAATTCTATATTAATGCCTCTCACAAACACTGAGTACTTTCCCCCGGGAAAGATTAAGATATCAGGGAGATGGTTTAGAAAGGAGGATACTCAACTGAGAGATGTTTTGGTGGAGGGGAAATTAAGATCACTAAAAGATTTAATAGAGAAGAAGGGAGATATTTTTATTAGAATAGATGAGTGGAAACATCATCAATTGAAATGTTTTATTGGAAATCTACCGAAACCCCTGAGATCAAAAGAGGGGTGGAATATGTTTGAAAGGTTGTTAGAGACACCAAGGGATGGGAAGCACGGTGTTTCAAAAGTGTATAGAATACTCACAGAAATAGACACAAACACAAAGTTAATCTTTATAACAAAATGGGAAAGAAATATGGGAGTATGGGAGCGGGATTGATGAAGATAGACAGAGAAAGATGTTTAGATTGATACACGATAATGTTAGTATGAGAGAGGTTGAGGTTAATTATAAGTGTGTGACATGTTGGCACATTACACCGAGTGTAGAGCACAAGATGAGTGGTGAAAATTCAAATTTGTGTTGGAGAGGATGTGGAGAGATAGGCACGGTGTTCCACATATGGTGGGAATGTCCGAAAATCCAGGCTTTTTGGAAGATAATAGTCAAATTGATTGAAGATATAACTGAAATTGACATAGGGTTAGACCCAATGATGTGCCTCCTACACAATGTGGAGACATCTGTAAATAAATATAAAGATTCAGGTATATGGTACTTATTGAATGCGGCGAAGGGGTTGATACCCAAGTTCTGGCGGAAATCTGAGGTACCGAGGGAGGATGACTGGATTAACAGAGTGAACCAGATAAGTAGAATGGAAAGAGCATACCATATGCAGGAAGATAGGATGAGAGTCTATTTTAGGAGATGGGAAAAGTGGGAAAGAGCAGGATTGAAAGAAAAATAGGAAAATATGAACTAGGATGTTAGTAAAAAATTAATAAGCCTCAAGAGAGTAGAATGGGCTAGAGTCTGCAGAGGGGGAGGAGGGGGGAGGAGGGGTGGAAAGGGGGGGTAGTGGGATGGGAAAGAAAAGAGTGTTTAGTAGGGGAAAGGTAGAAATGTTATAAATGTTTATGTGTATGAATTTTTTACCCTTTATGGGTTTTTGTATTAACATGAAAAATTTAATAAATATTTAAATTAAAAAAAAAAAAAAATAGCTTAACATTAGCAGCAGATAGAGGACCAAGCCATCTGATAAGCAGATCCAATTCTTCGGCAGCTGTAATACCAAGATCATTGATTGCAGTTCTGAAAGCACATTTCCAACTTCTGTAGTTTTCAGGTTGGTCATCAAAACTTGTAAGACCAGTTAAGGTGAGCTCTCTGCGAAGTATGTACCTCACAAACTCAGTTGTCTCCGACTTTATGCAAGATGGTGTTGGTTGAATAGTGCTGATTGCGCCATCTTTGACATCGCTGTTATTAGACACAGGGAAATATGGTGCAGCAGGTGCATTCAGGCGAGTTTCTTACTTGAAGTCATTTTCATTTTGTTTGAGGCAGTACTGATGACAGGAGATTGATGCCTTGCTTGCAGCTTGCTCTGATGCTCTGTGACGTATGAAGGAAGGTTAGGTAGATAGGCAGGAAAGGTGTTGGAGTGATTTTGCATGCAGGAAGTTGCTGGAGCTTCTTTAACTTGTTGCTGAAAAGAAGTCTCTATGTTGTTAGGAGCATTGGAGACAATAGATTGTCCACTGCAGTGGCTTATAACATAGTCTGTAGTGCATTTGAGGGGATCTTTCCATATCTGCTATGTTTAGGTTAATGCCGTCTTTCTTACTTGAACTTCCATCTGCATTGATAGCTTGTTCTAGGACCCTAAGTTCTGCCATAGCTGTATCATATTTACACTGTCCATTTAAGATTTCTGTTGCTGCCTTTTGGCCTGCTGACTGAGTTTCCAACTCAGCTCTTTGGAGTGCTGACTGCATTTCCAACTCTGCCATCTGCGTTGCTAACTCTGCTCTTTGGCGTACTGACTGAGTTTCCAACTCTGCTGTTTGTTGTGCTGACTGAATTTTCAATTCTGCTGCCCGCGCTGACTGAATTCCAACTCTGCCGTCTGAGTTACTAACTCGGCTCTCTTTTTTGCATATGCGGCCCGCACCTTGCTGGCTTCCACTTCAGCGCGGGCACTAATAAGTCGCTCACTGAGTGTAGAGCGTCTTGAACTATTGGATTTAGAGGACTTTTTAGAATATCTTGTAGAAACAGATCTGTGAGATGCAGTGTCTTGTAGCAGCTTTATCTTTGATTCTGCCTTTAATTTGGTTTGCTGGATAAAACTGTCTCTTTCTAGATTAAGAACCTGGAAGCTGTTTAATTCCTTGTGCATGCTCTGTAAAAACATTATTGAACTTGTTGCTGGTAAAATGATAAAGCTCATATGAGGCAGAAAGTTGTTGGATGGCACCCTCTAGTGGTTGTACCTCCTGTTCCACAGACAGTGTGTTAGATTGAGTAACAATCTTTTCCCATAGTAACCTCAGGCTATTAGTTCAGTTCTTAAAGTTTCATAATTGTCCATTATTTTCCAAGTTGGTTTAACTGACCATTTGGGTAACACAGCTGGATCAGAGACTTTCTTTGTCTACTGTGTGTGACATTTTTAATATTTATTAAGTTTTTACAATTTATCTCTTCCATCAGTTAAAATTTCAACATAACATATTCCATTATTTTCAACCCACATACAAAAAAATACAGACTCCCCCTTCCCCCCCTCCCTATCCTACCCCTTCCCCCCCCCACCCCAACCCCCACCTCTGTTCTCTTTCTTTTGGAGTCTTATGGTATTCATATAATTTTTATTTCCTATAGAAACAATTGAGTACTGACGTGATACTTTTTTTATTTGCACTAACATACAATTTTGAGGACAAGCTTTCGGGGTATGTCCCCTTCTTCAAGGTCCAAGCAGTACTATTACAATGTTTTAGCAGAATGTTAGAAGAGAAGTTATTTCCTATACAATTTCAATTAATTTGACCTTAAAGTCCTCCCACTTTTTCCATTTCTCACAAAAACACTCCACTTTGTCCTCCTCTATATGGTATAGTTCTTCCATCCTATATATCTGATCTACCTTTTTAATCCAGTCCGATATTCTTGGTGCTTCCTGTTCCATCCAGAATTTAGTAATCAGACCCTTTGCTGCATTAATATAGTGTAACAACCCAGAATTTTTATACCTTTCAACCATTAACTCTGTTCCATGTAAGAGACATACCCCTGTGTCAGGGTCTGGACTTGAACCTGGGACTTCTACTGTGTCAGGCAGTAACTCTACTCACTGAGCTACCTGGGATGCTGGACAACACTTTGCCTCATCTATTGGATAATCCTGCCTTGTGCCTTGTTTGCTCTTGAACCTTGAACTCCTTGCTCCTCCCATGAACTTCCTATATAAGCCATGTCCTTGGACTTCCTCCTTGCCAGATTATTGTGCCTTTCCAGCCAATATCCTGCTACTGTTCCTGCTGCTGTCTACACCTCCGCTACTGACCTTTGGCTTGTTCCTGACCACGATTGATCTGCTACCATTTGTGACCGACCCTTGGCTTGTGACCGACTCTGCTTTCGTCTGATTCCTAACCTGTTGATCCGCTATTGGTTCCCAGTCTGCTCATTCCCTGGTGGGGTGATCCTGAGATCTGCGACCTGGTATTAACACGCAGCCCAATCCATCTCCACCATTAGGAGCTCTGGTGAATACCGGTTAATACTTAGACCCCGCACCTCAGGTGAGCCTGCGTCATTCCCAGGGGGATCCGCTGGTGTACCTATCCTGCTGGTTCCAGGTAAGCCTTTTACTGCTATAGCAACTGGTCTCTGAACCTGACCTTACACCGTGACAGAATAATCTGGCCCACACATGGAGGCCGCTATAGCAAATGCCATGGCTCCTGTCAGGCAGCAAATTTCAGAGCTACAAGAGTTTGGTGTTACCTACCAAAATAAATTTGCTGAACTGCAAAGTGTAGTAGAGGGGCAACAGGAAGAGATCCATGCTCTGCAGACACGATTGCTGGACATGTGCTCCCGCGATGTTGCTAATACACGCATGCCTCTGCCACTCAAGTTCAATGGAGACCGCCGCCACTACAGGGGTTTCCTTAACCAATGCCGCATTTATTTCCAGATGCAACCTGCTGCATTTAATACTGAGAGGCAGAAGGTATTGTTTGTTATAAACCTCCTGACTGAGGAAGCCCTAGCTTGGGCCTCTCCCTATATAGAGCAAAACAATGCAATGTTAAACAGTTTTGCGACTTTTGTGACTGCAATGAACCAGGTCTTTGATGATCCAAACCGCTGCGCTACCGCTGAAGCAAAGCTGCATAGTTTGAGGCAGGGTAGACGCCCTGTTGCGGAGTATACAACTGAATTTCGACGCTGGATCTCAGACACCACCTGGAACCCAGCAGCGCAAAAGAGTCAGTTCGGCAGGGGCTCTCTGAACAGGTGAAGGATGAGCTCGCCAGAGGAGAGACTCCTAACGATCTTGAGGAGTTCATCCAATTATGCATTCGGATTGACCAAAGACTGACAGAAAGGAGAGATTGGGAAGTAATGGTGGCATGCGTTTTTCTGCTAATCAGTTCAGTCAGAAGGATTTAAACATTTCTTCAGATTATAACACACCTGAACCTATGCAAGTAGATACTGTTAAAAGATCAATTTCTACTCAAGAGAAGGAGAGAAGACGTTTGGAGAATTTATGTTTATACTGTGGGGACTCTGGGCATTACGCAGTCAATTGTCCTAATAAAGCCAAAAGAACAATTGCTGCGACTGATGTTATCCTGCCTGAACGCATAAATTCAATTACCCAGTCTATCTCCCTATTGATCGATGAAGAAAATAAAATTGGTCCTAAACAGTCTCATTTTGTTGTCCCTATCAAACTTTTTACTGGGGGCCATGAAATTCCTTGTTCTGCTATGCTGGACTCTGGGGCTGGGGGAAACTTTATGGACATAGAGTTTGCCCACAATAATAATATTCTCAGGAGAAACAAATCTGCCCCTATTGATATGGAGACAGTTGATGGTTCACCTTTATCATCAGGACCAGTTACTCATGAAACAGTTCCTCTAGTACTCCAATTTCAGGCTGACCATTTTGAGACCATCAGCTTTCAGCTGATTACATCACCTAAATTTCCTGTCATCCTGGGCATCCCTTGGTTTACTACCCATAATCCCTTCATCAACTGGGGAGCACGGACCATAAATTTGACATCCCCCCATTGTGAGGAACATTGTAGGAAACCATGTGCTACAAGTTGTCTACCAATCAGGAAATCACAGGCTGATATGGTAACTACACAGTCATATGACAATCTGCCTCCACAATACCATGAGTTTCGAGACGTCTGTGATAAGAAAAATGCTGATCAACTACCTCCTCATCGTCCATATGATTGTCCCATTGAACTGCTTCCAGGAGCAGAAATACCATTCAGCCGCATTTTCAATTTATCAGAACCTGAGTTAAAGGTGCTAAGGGAGTGGCTTGATGAGAATTTGGAGAAGGGCTTTATCAGACCCTCAACATCTCCTGCAGGTGCAGCCCTGTTCTTTGTTGAGAAAAAGGACTCCACCTTGCGTCCATGCATTGATTTTAGGGGCTTGAATAAAATCACTGTTAAAAACCGTTACCCACTCCCTTTAATCGCAGAGATGTTGGAAAGACTCCGCTCTGCCAAAGTCTTCACAAAACTTGACTTACGGGGGGCATATAACCTGGTACGCATGCGTCAAGGCGACGAATGGAAGACTGCCTTTAGAACCAGATATGGACACTTTGAGTCCCTAGTTATGCCTTTTGGCCTATGTAATGCTCCCGCGACTTTTCAGCACTTCATAAATGATGTGTTTCGAGATTTGTTGGACCAGTTTGTTATTGCTTATCTGGACGATATCCTCCTCTTTTCGGACAACCTGGTGGAGCATCGCAAGCATGTCTGCACTGTATTCAAAAGGTTAAGGATGAACCGACTCTACATCAAACTGGAGAAGTGTGAGTTTGAACGAGCCCAGATCCAGTTCTTGGGATATATCGTTTCTTCAGAAGGAGTGAGCATGGATCCTGAAAAGATCAAGGCAGTGGTGGATTGGACTGCCCCTGGAAACGTTAAGGAAATACAACGATTTATTGGATTTGCAAACTTTTACAGGAAATTCATAAGAAACTTCTCTAAGGTAGTAGCACCAATTACACAGCTGACAAAGAAAGGAGTGCCCTTTGCATGGTCAACTGAGGCACAAACTGCTTTTAGTAAGCTAAAGACTCTCTTCACATCTGCACCAATATTGGTACATCCTGATCCTGATCTACCTTTTATTGTGGAAGTGGATGCCTCAGACTCCGCCGTGGGAGCTATCATTTCTCAGCGACGAGGAGAAAAAATGTAGCTTCATCCCTGTGCTTATTTTTCTCGTTTGATGTCATCTGCTGAAAGGAATTATGACATTGGGAATAAGGAGTTGCTGGCAATTAGGGAAGCCTTTTCCGAATGGAGGCATCTGTTGGAAGGGGCTAAGCATCCTGTGACTGTCTTCACGGATCATAAAAATCTAGAATTCATCCCGTTCTGCCAAGAGATTGTCTTCTAGACAAGCACGTTGGTCACTGTTCTTTTCCAGGTTCAATTTTATTATCTCATATCGACCCTGGGTTAAGAAATGGAAAGGCTGATGCCTTATCACGAATGTCGTCTGGGCCTCTCCAGGAGAACACTTCTGAATGCACAATCCTGCCTCAAAAGAACTTTCTAGGGGCCACAAGTCCTAAGGCATTCTGAATCTTCTTAAAGAGGGGTATGAGAATGACCCACTTCTCAATCATCCACCTACGGACATTAACCTGACTTATAAGAATGGCTTTTGGATTCAAGGACATCATCTTCATGTACCTGAATCTGTTCGGGTGGAAGCTCTCAAGTTGGTTCATGATTCCAAACTTGCTGGGCATTTTGGAGTCGCTAAGACCGAAGAACTATTATCACGTTCCTTTTGGTGGCCGGGGTACAAGAAAGATGTCAAACGCTATGTGACCTCATGCTTGACCTGTGCACGCAATAAGATTCCCCGAGCCTCCCCTTTTGGGGTTGCTTCAGCCACTCCCTGTTCCATCAAGACCATGGGGGTCTATTTCTATGGATTTTGTGGTGGATTTACCTCCCTCAAAAGGAATGACCACCATTTTGGTAGTGGTTGACCGTCTCACTAAAATGGCCCATTTTGTTCCAGTTAAGGGGGTGCCCACTGCTGAACAGACTGCTGAATTGATGGTTCGAGAAATTTTTAAACTGCATGGAATCCCTGATGATGTGGTGTCTGACAGAGGTGTGCAGTTTACTTCGAAATTCTGGAGAAGTTTTTGCTCAGCCTTAGGTGTTACAATTAATCTGTCCTCTGCTTTTCATCCCCAGTCTAATGGTCAGACTGAGAGAACTAATCAAACAATGGAACAGTATCTTCGATGCTTTGTCACTTATCTTCAGGATGACTGGGTGGACTGTCTTCCCACTGCAGAGTTTGCATACAACAATTCTAAACATAGTTCCACCTCTCAAAGTCCTTTTTACTTAAACGCCGGTTACCATCCAGTTTTTATTCCTGATCTCCCTATCACAACTCCAATCCCTGCTGTTACCGATAGACTAACTACATTGCAGGAGATTCAAGAGAAATTGATTGAGACTTTGAGGGAAGCTCAGGAGTATTACAAAAAGTCTGCAGACAGACACCGGAGAACACTTCCTACGTTTCATGTGGGTGAAAAAGTTTGGTTATCAACAAAGAATTTGAAGGTCCAGGTGCCATCTGCTAAGTTGGGTCAAAAGTTTGTGGGTCCTTTTCAGATTTCTGCCCAAATCAACCCAGTCACCTTTCGCTTACAGCTTCGGATAGTATGAGGATTCACCCTGTTTTTCATATATCACTACTCAAACCGTTTCAGGAAAATCCTTTCCCTGGCAGAATTATTTCACCTCCTCCACCTGTTGAGGTACAGGGTGAAGAAGAATTTGTGGTGGAGAAAATCCTTGATTCCAGGATCTTTAGTTACAGTATCTGGTTCAATGGGAAGGATATGGACCAGAAGAAAATTCTTGGGAGCCTGAGGAGAATGTTCATGCTCCTAGACTAACAAGAGAGTTCCACCAGAGGTTTCCACGCAAGCCTAGTCCTAAGACGTCCAGAGGACGTCCTGGGAGGAGGGGAGTACTGTCAGGGCCTGGACTTGAACCTGGGACTTCTACTGTGTCAGGCAGTAACTCTACTCACTGAGCTACCTGGGATGCTGGACAACACTTTGCCTCATCTATTGGATAATCCTGCCTTGTGCCTTGTTTGCTCTTGAACCTTGAACTCCTTGCTCCTCCCATGAACTTCCTATATAAGCCATGTCCTTGGACTTCCTCCTTGCCAGATTATTGTGCCTTTCCAGCCAATATCCTGCTACTGTTCCTGCTGCTGTCTACACCTCCGCTACTGACCTTTGGCTTGTTCCTGACCACGATTGATCTGCTACCATTTGTGACCGACCCTTGGCTTGTGACCGACTCTGCTTTCGTCTGATCCCTAACCTGTTGATCCGATATTGGTTCCCAGTCTGCTCATTCCCTGGTGGGGTGATCCTGAGATCTGCGACCTGGTATTAACACGCAGCCCAATCCATCTCCACCATTAGGAGCTCTGGTGAATACCAGTTAATACTTAGACCCCGCACCTCAGGTGAGCCTGCATCATTCCCAGGGGGATCCGCTGGTGTACTTATCCTGCTGGTTCCAGGTAAGCCTTTTACTGCTATAGCAACTGGTCTCTGAACCTGACCTTACACCGTGACACCCTGGCTCCTTTAATATTTTTATCCCGGTTATTTCTTGTGTCAAGTGAAGTTTTTCTTTCCCAATATTTTTGAATTTTGTGACATTTCCACCAAATGTGGCCTACTGTGCCACTTCCCCACACCCCCTCCAACATAAAGGTGATTTCTCCCTATTTTGTTTGTGTACTATATTTGGTGTCATATACCACCTCGCTAAACATTTATAGTTCATCTCTGCCTCTTTCATACACACATTCCCGTGTGTTAACTTATAAATCTTCTTTTGTTTATCCTCTATTTTTATTCCAAATTCTCTCTCCCATCCCTCCATATATGCCGGTACCATTCTTGTTGTTAACTTAGTAAGAATTTATATATATATTTGAGGTTCCATGTATCCCATCTCCCTGTGTACTTAACAAATTTTCAAATGGGTTCCATTGTTCTTTCTTCCTTAGGAAGTTTTCTATGAAATGTTTTATATGTAGATACCGCCACTCATCTACTTTAACAAACAACTCCCTCTTCTTCTTCAATTCTACTAAGGGGCAGATTTCCTCGCCTTTCATTAGGTCTCTTAATTGGGCATCTCCCTTCTGTCAGGAATGGACTTGCCAGTAATGGTGGGACTCACCTGCCTTGTGGGCTGCAGTACTAGGGCTGGCCAGCGGGTGCTCTCAGCAATCAGAGACTCAACCCTGCAGCCAGCCAAACACCTGAAGCTGATTATGCAGGTGTATTTAAGGGATGGCCAGACCTGCAGTCTGTGCCTTGGTGTGTGTTTTTCCATGGGCCCCTGTATCTTGTAACCTGTGTTCCTGTTTCTGCCTCTGCCTCTGCCTGACTTGTTGCCGACCCGGTCTGATCCTGACCTCTGCTGACTTCTCCTGTTTTGATCCCTGGCTTGTGACCCTGACCATTCTCTCCGCCTGCTCCTCCTGTACCTACCTGCCCGATAGTTATCGACTGGGCCTGCCTGACTACGTTGTGCTCTATATGTGTATGTACCTGTGTATCTGTATCAGTTTAGGTTTGGGTTTGTTTCACCTTGTTGTATGTATTTGTGTTAGCTTGGGGTTTGGTGCACTGCGTTTATGTTTGTATTGTTAGTCTTTAATAAATTGTCTTATTGTATAAATTATAACATATCTGAAGCCTGCGTTTCCCTGCGTCAGTTCACATACCTCTGGTCATACCTGGAGCCCTGACACCTTCCTTATACATCTCCCTGCAATCTTTTCATTCTCCGGTGGAAAAAAAACTGTGTTTACAATAGGCATCGACATAGAGTTAAATTCCCATCCCATCTGTTCGTGCATTGTGTCCCAAGCTCTCAAAACTATTCTTGTTAATACACTTGTACTTTCTATCTGTCCACAAAAGTGACATGGCAACCATATTATCCTATCCAAATGTGTTTTTTACTTAAAGTGTTTTCTATATTTATTCTTTTCCCCTGTGAATTATGTATCCAATCAAAAATTTGTGCTATCAATACTGCATTGTAATATCTTCTAAAATCAGGTACACCTAAACCCCCATTTTCTTTGTCTCTAGTTAGAACTTCATAACTTATTCTAGGTTTTGTATTTCTCCATATGAACTTTAGCATAATTTTTTTCATAATCCTAAAATAAAGTCCTGGCAGCTTTATTGGGATCATCTGGAATTTATATAAAAATTTTTGTAATGATTACCAGTTTAATTAAATTTATTCGTCCTATCCACGATATACCGCCTATCCCAAATTTTCGCATTTCATCTCTTTAATTTCGTTTAATAATGGACTATAATTTACTTTGTATAGATTTTTCATGGAGACAGCCAATTTTATTCCTTAATATTTTAATTATTTTTCCTTCCAAGAGAAAGAAAATTCCCTTTTGTAAGGCCTCCCTCTCTCTTCTTGGAAGATTTATATTCAAGATTTCTGTTTTAGTTGGGTTAGTTTTCAAGTTAGACCACTTCCCATATTCCTTCAATGTTTTCATTAAATTGGGTAATGTTATCCCTGGGTTACCTACATAAAAGAGCATGTCATCGGCATACGCCGCAACTTTATGCTCTGTCTCCCCAATCCTAATTCCCTTAATATCTGTATTTTTCCTTATTTTCTCTAAAAGGGATTCTAAGGACAGGACAAACAGCAGCGGTGACAAAGGGCATCCCTGACATGTCCCATTATGCATCTTAAAACTATCTGATATTTCCCCGTTTGACCTTTATTGCAGCTGATGGTTGACTGTGCAATTTCCCTATCCACATTCTCATTCTAGGACCCACCCCCAGGACTTTCAATGTATCCAACATATACCCCCAGTCTACACTATCAAATGCTTTTTCAGCGTCTACGGACAGTAACAATACAGGAAATTTTTCTCTTTTACTTTTTTGTATGAGCATTATTGATCTTAATCCATTATCCCTACCCTCTCTCCCAGGAACAAACCCCACTTGATCCATATGGATCCAGTCCAGCATTAGCTCTTTCAACCTACTTCCCAGCACTTTTGCATATAGTTTAGTATCTATGTTTAATAGGGATATCGGCCTATAACTAGAACACTGTGTGCTGTCGTTTCCCTTCTTTTGGCATTATTGTGATATGGGCCTGAAGGGATTCCGCCCTCATTTCCATCTCCCCTCCCAAAGCATTCATGTATGTAGTTAATTTAGTTATCAGTTGGTTTTTAAATTTCTTATAGTATCTCACAGTATACCCATCCGGTCCTGGACTTTTCCCTGCCATAGTACTCTTCAGTGCACTATAAATTTCTTCTTCTGTTATTGCTCTCCCTAGGGATATTAACTGCTACTCTCTCAATTTCGGTAATCCCGCCTCTTCTAGGTATATCTGTCTTTTTTTACTTCTTTATTCCTCATCTCTTATGCACTGTTGGGGATTGATATTATATAATTTACTATAATATTCTGTAAATACTTTTGCAATTTTTTGGTAGAATATTTTAGTTCTCCTTTGTTATCTCTTTTATCTCTATTAAGATTCCTCTAATATATGCCTTGTGGGCTTCCCATACAGTTTGCCACCAACACCTCCTCAGTCTCATTTCTTTCAAAATATAATTCTATTTCTCTTTTAATTATCTGTTCGTCTCCTGATCCTGAAGAAGTGCCTCATTTAATCTCCACATATTTACTTTTTTTTGTTCTCTTCCCCATTTTAACCTTATTGTGACAGATGCATGATCGGATAGCGTTATAGTTTCTATCCTTGCTTTTACCAAAGACTCTATAAAAGAAGAAGGGTAAAATGAGTGCTGCATGAGGTAGTGAAAGTGATATAAGCCGCTGGTATGAAAGGCAAAACCTCAAAAGCCTCCTGATAAAATTGCTAAAACATAAAATATGCAGCACTAAACCAAATATTGACAAATAAAATGTATACCAAATAGAATATGCATAATATGCACATGGGCAATAGGAGATTGGTGCGCAAACCAGTAATATGAAAATTATGCTAATATAACATAAAAACAAGGCATAGTATGTATAGTGAGATTGGTGCCAAAGTCAATACATCACTGGATTTTTCAAGGTGACAGGAGAAATCAGTGACATCTGTGGTATAGAATGTGACTGTTGATTGCACTAACCAGATAGCGCAAAGGATAGCGCGTTGGAGTAAAACAGACCTAATCCTGGATCCGGGACACTGCTATAAGGATGGTCATCAGTTCAGCAACCTCCAGGTACTCTGTGTCATCTCCAGGTGTACCATCAGCAGCCACCAGAGGGCTATTCCACGCTCACTCCTATCAGGAATCACCTTCTGTCATCAACCACCAGGGGGATGCTGTGCACTCTCGTGTATCAGGAATCACCTTGGGGGCTCGCAGAATAAACAAGCCCAAGACAGAGGTATCCGATAATGTAGTATATTTTATTCAAAAAGGTGTAATAAAAAAAAGTGATAAACTTACATGGTAAAAATTCCAAAGAAATCCAAAATGGCCACCAGTCAGATGTGAGGACCATGTGGGCTAGGTCTGTATGTGGGGTGGCACCTTCTAACGCGTTTCGTGTCTATTGCACATTATCAAAGGGAGTGTGCCTCTTATGGATGCCTTCTATTTACACTGAGTGAGGTACTGGTGCAAAATGACGCTTTTTGCATCATTTTGGCTCTATTGTGCATGCGCGAGACGGGCCCCGCACGCGCAGTGTAATGCTCCCGTGTCACCGCGGTCCGCTCGCGAATGCGCAGATCATGCGTGGTGGCCATTTTACTGGAGTCCATTCACAATATCCCTGCATAAGGGACAAACCAGAGGAGGATGAAAGATAGGTAACTAGTTTAGGGAAAACAAAACAAAGATCGTTTGTAGTAATATTTATAAATTATAGTAATATATTACTAGTGATCCAGGGAAGGGTTAAGAAACATATATATAAGTGGGAATACCATAATGGTCACAGAAAGATCACAGGGTAAACACTCTGAAACCAGAGGTGTTCCCACTGTGTTATCAGGTGGGACCACAAGTATAAGCAGAATTCATTAATAGGATGCTTCTTAATCCGCTATAAATAATATACAGAAAAAAAAGGGGGGTTTATTCATCCCCTTTTAACAGCAGACTGTATTAAGTGAAATTCACCATTTTAAATAGTAAAGAAGTATTCTGATATTAATGGTTGTAAAAAAAGAGAAAAATTCTTAAAGTATTAAAAAAATCCCTTAGAATTTATAGAACGATTCTACTGATAGAAATATCAGTGTTAAATAATGCTACAATAAAATAATGTCAATATCTCAATTATAATAAGGGGTTGAACTGAGAAAAAACAAATTGAATTGACCGGTGTATTTTGAGCCCAGGTAGCCACATGAGAGCTCAGAGTATATATAGGTATATAATATGGCAGAATCACTGTATCTAAATGTGTAGACAAATTAAAAATATATATGAATCTCAAAATTAGAGATGAAAAATGTTAATAAAAAGGATAAATAAACTACTGCTAAAGGAAACACCATGGATGTAGTGCAGGACTTTGGGAATGTGTCAATCCAACACAACTTGAAATAATTATAACAGCCATATAACA